AGAAATAGACCCACCCATATAGGGTCATTTGATTTACAATAAATGACACCTCCATGCAATAGGGGAAATAAAGGACATTTTAATCAATGTTTCTAATGAACTGAAAATTCCCAGGAAAAGTAAATTCTGATCCCTATGTTATACTTGCTAGAAAATCAGTTCCAATTGCATTCTAGAGTGAAATTAAAACGTGAAAAAATAAGACAAAATTAAAAGTAGCAGAATATGTCTATGAAAGTGTATAGACTATACCTTTTAAATGAGACAGTAAAAGTGCTAAGAGAATCAGAAAGAACAGAGGAATTATTTTGAAACTTGAAATTTGTATTTGTCATAAGGTACCATAGAAGGTAAAAAGGCAAATACCAGAGCTGGAGAAGATATCTGCATGCCTCTAGCCAACAATGGATGTGTAAACTTATATAAAGAACTCCTGAATATCAATATGCAAAAGGCACTCTAAAAGACAAATGGGAAGGTACTTTACAAAACACAATAATCATTAAATGAGCAACTATGTTCAAGTTCATTAGGCATTTGACAAATGCAAAACTAAAAGTATCATTAAATACCAATGTAAGCCCCAAAGACTAGATGAAATTATAGAGACTGATAACACATGCTGGGAGGATGAGGAGCACTGCAATTTCCATCTTATACAGGTGGGAATATGTGGATGTGAACACTTTCCAAACATATCTGACAATAGCTCATGAAATATCTGTATTACTCAGACATTCCATCCATTGATGTTTGCTGGCAAAATCATATATGCATATGCACCAGCTCACACATTGAAATGATCCTGTAGCATCACTAGTAATAGTGCAAAACTAAAAGCAGCCAAGGTTAAAATGCATAAATTGTCTTATCTACATATTATTGAGTCATACGTAGCAATAGAGACAAACAATGTATGATTTACAAGGATCTCACATACACTATAGTGGATGTCAGGCATGTCAGAGCACAAAGAATATGATTCCATGTATAAAATATTGAAAATGGGGCAATAGTTACTGATAACCAGTGAATCAGAGCAGTGCTTACCCTGGCAGGAGGAGCTAATAGGTATGGCCAGCCTTGAGCTGGATTCTGGTTCTTGGCACAACTGGTGATTAAGTGGGTGTTATCTCTTGAGGACATACTAATATTTTAATGGCTTATAAAGAGGACATCATCCATCAGTAAGCTGAGGAAACATGCTAATCATAGATCACCAAATATAATGCTCTATCAGTTGAAAAACATATATATGTATATATATATAAAACTTATTATTTGCTATCATGTTTTTCATTTTTGACTTATAAAACTATTGGATTGACAAAGTAATAGCTACATTTTAGACCCCAAATGATAAACATATTTTAAAAACACCAACTTGTTAGATAAAATGTCCAGGCTTCCAAAGGGAGCCCCATCATAGCACAATGCAGTGGACCTGACAGAGTTGTACCACAGAGTCAAGTAGCAGTTCCCTGGCTCTGAGGACTTCTCATGTGTAGAAGGATAGAACTTGAGCACGTTCACACCCTAATAGCTTCAGTATACTTGTACAGAGGGTGTATCTTTTATCTAGTCCTCTGAGGATCACTTGCTGTGCAAAGGTAAAAGCTTGAGAAGATACCAGACACCTAACTCCATCATGAAAAAGAGCCATATGATGCTGACCACTGGCTCCATGCCCATGCATCATTCCACTTACCAATGGAACAAAGGATCATTACTATTTCCCATGTTTTTGGTGTAACACTTGATACAGATTATTAACACAAATTCTATCTTACTTCCTGTCAACTTTTAAAATATACTTTTATTATTTTATGTGTATGAGTACATTGCCTGCATGTTTGTGAGTGCACCCGCATTGTGAAAAGCCCTTGGAGGTCAGAAGAGGGTGTTGGAGCCCCTGGACTTACAGATGGTTGTTAGTGGCCACGTGGGTGCTGGGATTCAAACCCAGGTCCTCTGCAAGAGCAGTCAGTGCTCTTAACCGCTAAGCCATCTCTCCAGCCCCCTACCTCCAGTCAATTTTACTAGCAGATATTCTTTTACAATAATCATGCTTTCTTCAGCAAACTCGTATTATTAGAAAGTCACCAATTCTCATCTTTATATATTATTATTGTAAATGACCTCCAAGAATTATAAAAATCTCTAAGAATTATAGCTGACAATTCAAAGAGGAGCTCTGTGACCTGTCTAGTCACAGATTCTTGGCCAGAAGGACAGTGTCAGGTATGGACTCCCTATTTTGGAGCAGGTCTTAAACACAAGTAGAAGGTGATTTGTTGCTCCCAAAATATTCATGCCACTATTACAGCAGTGGTCATATTTTGCCAAGACAGTTGTTACTGCAGCACACAGGAGTGACACTGGGTAAGGTTGATGATTACTTTTGTCCGTCAGTAACATGCATAGCACTTTGTAGTATTATGAAAGCTAGCCAGCAGAGACGTAGCTTCAAGGTCAGCATCAGCTTGATTTCTCTTTGTTGGTTCTAGACTCAGGTACGTACTGTCTTCAGCAATAGAGGCTTACTGGTAAGTTCAGAACCAATAAAAATACTTCTGATTTTTTTATTTTTGAGAATGTCTTACATCAGTATTGTATTTGCATTATTTCCATCCCTCCCAATACCACCCTAATTGCTCCCATGCACCCAACTCCCTCTCAGTATCTTACCCTCTTCTTTGATTACTGTTACACACACACACACACACACACACACACACACACACACACATATTTATATGATGCACTTGGTTCTTTAGTGGTGTTCATTTGTACTTCTGTCTATGGCTGCCCTTTTGAGATTTGATAACCTTTCAGGGAACTATTCCCTGGAGAAAACTGATTCTCCCTCCCTCAGTAACCATGATTGCTTGTAGCTCTTCATCTTGGTGTGGTACACTGCGATAATCCCCACCCCCAACCACATGGGCATGTCAACTGATTTAGTCATTAAGCAGATCTTGTTAGACTAGTACACTGTAGAAATTTCATTGGTGCAGCTTTCCTGTAGTGTCTAGAATGCATTAACTAGCAGCAGGTGTCTTGTTCCTCTGGCTTACAATTTTCTGGCCCCTCTTCCAAAAGGTTCCCTGAACCTTAGATGTAGAGGTTGTATTGTAGATGCATCACTTAGGCTGGGGCTTTGAAAAGATTTTTCATTATATTATTACAATTATATTCACTGTCAGTAAGATGCTTTGTAAAATAAAGATGGTCATGAGTAAAATTTGAAAACATTCCATGATACAAAAATCAGAAGTTGTGTGCCCATGAGCCCATGCTCTATACAATCTCTAAAACTCCAGCACATAAAACTTCCCTTCACAGAATAAATGGAGAACATGTTTTAGTTCATTTTCCTTAAAAACTGAAAGACTGCTAATGAAGAAAGAAGGCATTGATTCAAACTTATGCCTCAAAACAAAACAAAAGAAAATGGAAGAACAAGAGACAAGGACATGGAAACGATACTCAGATTTACACTTTTAAAAATGAAGGGGCCTGTCCTGTGATGTCACTACCATATCTGTCACCATGGACCTCCCCTGAGAAGAAATTAAAATTTTTGCATTAGAAAGCCCAGTGAACACAGGAAAAAGTGAAGGCATATGGGTATAAACTTTTCAGAAGTCATGCAGAAAAAAACAAGTGCATACTGAGCAAGTTGGAAGCAATTTCATCTTTCATATTATGCAAATGCATTTTTTCTAGAGATGTTTTCTATTTTGGTCAGGATGATTCTCATTACTACTTTTACTATGTGAACTACAAAACTGTGTATCTGTTTTAACAGGAATATATACATAATTACTCTGTGCAGAAATTTTCACAAGTGTCAAAATATGAATTAAAACACCAACACTTTTTTAAGGCTTCTTATGTGATTCCAAAACATGCTGCTTACAGAATGAAGGCTTGGTAAAGTGGATGAGAACATTTGGAGGAGTTTCTAAAATATCCGATATTTATTTAAAGCAAGGCTTAGCTCTGAGTATATTATATAGACATTCTTCTGATGCGGAAGAAACATGTAGAAGCGCAGTGAAAGCCAACTACCTTAACTGCCCTCTATTTTTCTCAAGAGAAGACCTTCACTCTTTGTAGCTGAGATGGAAATCAACAATTCTTCAAACCCATTTTGGTCTTTGTCCACTACCTGAAAAGAGCAGTTTAGCTCTTGGACATCACGGCCTTATGCTTCAATGACTACCCAGCATGCTTTTTTTAATCTTAAGAAAACTCAGATGATTGCATTGTAAATGAGCTTCAGCATTATCCAATTGTGCTTTTCTACAAGTCCAGCAGAAAACACCAATAGAATCCCTACCGTGTTCTGAGAGATGTGAATTTAAGAATTATTGTGGCTGAAGATGCAGCATACTAATTACAAATGACCAATGTTTTCAAGTGACCAGATCAAAATATTAGAGAGAGTTAGAAACCTTCTTGGCTTTCCATCAAAGAACCCAGCCTCATATTCTGTCTGTATTGAACCTTCATCAGAATGAGATATAACTTTGCTAGACTCCAACAAATTTCTCATCTTTGAGGTTAAGCTTTCTTCCCAGTAGTTTCCCTGCCAGACTTAACTAATAAAGCATATTTTCCTCTCGTCCAATTTATCAGTCTCTGTGATTCCCGTGGATGCCCTACCCAGTCACTGCAGCAGCAGAGAGAGATCGGACCAGAGATTCTGACTTCTATGGGGCCAGATCTTTCCTGACATGAAAAGGTGAGCAGAGATGACAGTCTGGTCTTTTCACTTTTAAAAGTAGGCACATTAAAATTGGGGGACTTGAAGACAGGAACTTATTACACATTGGGTTGGTAGCAGGACACACATCTAAGAGTCTTTTGAGTTCTGGTCAGGTTCTTTGTACCATTCTCTATCAGAATGATAAAGCCAAACAAACAAGTAAGACACTTTCCACAACAAAAAGCAAAAGCGTGTTCTATGCTTTTGCTAGTGTTTTTGTTTTTACCTCTGAAGAGATTATCCAAGTCAGTATCTTCTTTTCCTTTGATTTTCAAACACTTTGCCTGCTGTACAAGTCTGGCAAAGAACAGAAATAAAATCTAGATTCATTATTCTGTGATGTAGGAATAAATCATGATAGCAGCTAGGACAAATTTAAATAGAAACCACAGGGTAAGTGATAGCTAATTAGCAGGTGTTATGTTGCATAGACTTACTAGGATTTTTTTCAGTTTAAGATTTAAAGAAAATACATGCTTTTGTTCAGAAAATCTAACTTTAAAAACTGAAACTTAAAAGTCTTCCTCCCTCATTCTGTTATAGCAAAAGTTCATAAATTCCTAGGAAATAGCCTTTTCAGATGCTCAGGCAGGGGGCAGCCAGGAGGTGCTGGCTCTCTGGGAGAGTGGGCAATGGCGATAGATGGGCAAATAATAAACAGTACTCCTGATTTTGGCACTTATTATTCTTAATCAGAAGATTATAGACATTTTGGACTTGGACAACTGTATGAAGTAATTTAGTTGCATTGCTGAATGTCAGAGAATTAATTAACTTTTGAAATGCTGCAGAATGCAGTAAGGGCTACGTTTGTAACTCTTTTATCATGGCACATCATTAAAACTTGAGGCTCCTACTTCATAATGAAAATGGAAGTATTTAAAATGGAACTTCTCCGGGGTTGCTAATTACCTACTAATTAATTTTAGGTAGACAGAACTTGAAATAATTAATTTATCTGTGTGTATTTATGATTTTAATAAACATAATATGTTATTTTTCACATATATATTCTTATTTCACTTAATGACACTTGATTTTATCTTCACTGACAGGCCTTGTGTTGGTCACAAAAGAACTGTTTCAGATGAAGAAACTGATTCAGTTAGCAAAACTCTCCATAGAAAATTTGAGTCACTTATATATAAATATGTGTAATTTCCATCTATGGCTTCTGTAAACATGGTTGTTGTGGTAAAAGCACAGCCTACTTATTGGTTAGGCATCTCTTGATCTAGACTTTTTACCAAAAACCAAGAAAAAGTTTGTATGGAGACTCTACCTTTGAACTTTTTGCTATGGTGCACAGTCTAGTAGATGAGGAAATACCTGTGGTGCAGGCTAGGGACAGGATACCTGGTGCAGTAAAACCCGCTTGGTGCCCAGACTCAGTGCCTAGGTTTGTGATGCACAGTGAATATTTAAATACTTGGAGTCTTAGCTGACAACCTGTGAAATGGAGAAAGTACCTGCCTCACTGTGTTGATCTGAGAAATTAGTGAAACAATATATTTTACAAAACAGTGTAAAATATTTATGTATTATGGACATGCATACCGTGTGGGATATTTATTTATTTATTTATTTATTTATTTATTATTTATTTATTTATTAGACCAGGCTGGCCTTGAACTCACAGAGATCCGCCTGCCTCTGCCTCCCGAGTGCTGGGATTAAAGGCATGTGCAACCATGCCCAGCATAACTATTTAATTTTTAAACTATTTAGTATTTTTGGATGCTCTGTATATCTCTATGCATCATCAGAATTCATTTACATTCCTCTAGGAAAGTATGAACTACAAAGAGAGGCTTAAGTTTTAGTAGTATCTGGTGGTCAACATGAGATGCTGGGTATCATCAACTCCCAACCCCCTCTGTGCTCCATGCTCAGCACCACAAAATAGTCATTTTTCAAAGAAGAAAATGGGATAAAAGAAAAATTTTAGCTTTGCTCACCTGTTTTTGGAAAACCTTTCAGTGTTTTGTCCTCAATTTTACAAATTTTAGGACAGTGTGAATTGATTTCAAGTCATATTACAGCATCACTGTGCACTGTATGCTAATGAGATAGACCTATCTTACAAAATTAAAAAATAGAGCTAGTCTGCCTTATATAATATTACTGGGATTTTGGAAAACAACTTTAAAATAAATCAACTGTATTTGGTAACTTTTTAAATGTGAAGCACTGTAATCAAGAAAATATGTCCATACACTTTCACTTTCAAATGATTACATCACTAAAGAGATGCCCACTCCAGATCCTATGAGCAGTTCAGATGCTGAGAACTCCACATGCCTAAGGGCTGACAGCTTCTTCATTTCTCGTAATATCACCCAATTTTCACAGAAATGCCATAAGGCAAGGGTAATATTCTAGTTTTATGGATACGGAAATTGGGGCTCAGAAATACCGACCAACTTGCTTTGTCTTAGGCACACACAGTCAATGGTAGAACCAGGATACAAAGTCAAGTCTTTGAACACTCAACTGGGGCTCCCTTCTTCACTAAAAAACATCTCCAAATTATACAACTTTTACTGCTTATTTATAGACATCTTGAAGAAGCAGTAGTCACAGGCAAATAAAAAGAAAAGGACAGTCAGCAATGTTCCTCGAGACCAGGATGGATGCTGCTTGGCACTCTGTAAGGGATGGGGATGAAGAAGATGGATGGGTGCCTAAAGCCTGTGAATATTGGGTAGGAAGAGGAGGAACTTAATAGAATGAGCATGAGTAATAGGAGATGAAACAAGTTTGGGGACCCGAATGAGCATATCAGTCTAGTTGCCTGAGACACCTGTACTATCCACAGAGGGTGAGATTAGCAAAGCAAGCCAGGAGCCAAACTTCAGACAGCCTCACTTGCTGAGCTCCAGTTTGAACTTAATCTCATGGAGAGTGGAAAGGCCATTGGTGTGCTTGCTCCCTAAAAGGATCTGCTGTGCAAACTCAGAACTGTTGGAAATGGAGAGGCCAATGGAGTGCCAAAGATGAAAAGTTTCTGTGGTTTAACCATTGAAATCTCCAACTGTTACTATTTCACCAACAGTTGTTCCTGAAGCCTGGCCCATACCTTTCATATAATCATAACTCCAGGTGCATCAAGTAACCTTCAGAATCTTTTACCAGCGAGATTGCTGTGATTGCAGCAACTGTCACATACCCATCCTGTCGCTGTTACCCAACAGCATCTGTTATCCATTGTCCCTTACTCTGATACAGATTTGATACTTCTAGGCAGTGCAATAGCAGTGGCCACTACTTCTATACTAATGAGGCACCAGGCTCTTAGGCTAGATGCCTACCACAGAATAGGAACAGATAATGCTGGTTTTGTATTGAAAAAAAAAAATAGGAATAGAAGCTTGACCCAGGCACAGAGTAGAACTAGAATCTGAATGTAACTCACACAACTGCAACTAGACCAGACACTTTCTATACAGACAATAGCCGGCAGACAATAGCCCACAAGTAAATTCTACCTTGTTCTAGTAAGTGATAAATGATTATTTACTAGAACACAATCATACTTATTGGCTCACTTCTTGATGTAGCTAATCTTACAAGGGCTGAGCTGAGCAGTGGTAACAGAGACCAAATTTGTAATGTTTAGTATCTGGTTCTTTACAGTTTGCTAACCATTGTTCTAGAAGTAAAGGAAGAGGTCCATAAAGTAAGAATGTACACAACACACGACTGTCCCATGTTGCTTTCTTTCCTCCCATATTGCCCTAGTACTAGGGTTTGAGAAGTGAACATTGGACTCTGAGTGTTATTTTTAAGTAAATTCTCCAAGTCTTTGCAAAATTTGATTTCCCTGCATGCTGGCTGCATTCAGTTAAGACAGTTCCAGCCACTAAATTCTCTGTACATCAGGGCACATGGACCTCCGCACTGTCAGGAAAATGGCTACAATAAGGACGTGAAGAAGGCGCTGTGAGATTGCAGAGCACAAGAGTGTTCTGTGTAAAGTGGGAGAGATTACAGCCAGGTTTCAGGAGATGGAGTCAAAACAAGGCTCATTAGGGAAACACAGTCAGGACAGGGGATGATAGCCAGGAGAACAGTCCCGTGGAAGAACAGATGAGGATTAGTGATGGGGTGTGATGAGGTGAGGAATGGGAAACAAATGATACGGACTGCAATAGCTTTCTGTGTTTTCCTATGAGGTCTGTAAGTCTGACACTGATTTTTTGACCCTATAGAATTACAAAATGGACCCAGAACCTGTAGCTGTCTATTAAGTTAGAAAATCATGAAATGCTAATATGTATATAAAAAGTAATTAAATCTTTAGAAATATGATAGTTTATCTGTTAAATTAATGTATATGTGAAAATGTTCTCTGTAACATACTTTTAAAAAATATTTTATTTATTATTTTTATTTTATGTGTATGAGTGTATTGCCTGCATGTATGTGAGTGCACCGATGATGTGTAATGCTCCGGAGGTCAGAAGAGGGCTTCAGATTCCCCCGGAACTGGAGTTAAAGATGGTTCATAGCTGCCATGTGAGTGCTGGGAATCGAATCTGGATCCTCTGCAAGAGCAGTCAGTACTCTTAACCACTGAGCCATCTCTCCAGCCCCTCTGTGACATATTTTTAAGAGGGAAAATACTGGAATCTACCTGTCAACAGAGGAACAGGCTGATTGAATCAAGTGTATCCACACATGGAATATGATGCAGTTGTTAAAAATAATGCATTAGATTCATTTGTGTTGATAAGTAATGTATTCTTGAAACATCTTTGGTGTGTGTGTATGTATGTATGTGTATGCATTTGTGTGTGTGTATGTGTGTGCGCGCGCATGTTTATATGTGAGCATGTGCATTTGAAGGCTAGAGGTTGACAATGGGCATCTTCCTCAGTCACTTTCCACCTTATTTTTTGATATAGGGTCTCTCACTGAATCTGAAGCTCACTGACAGGCTAGACTGCTTGACCAGTGAGTTACAAGTCTCTGCTGTCTCCACCTCCACTGAGCTGGGTTACAGACTCCCACTGCTGTTTCTGCTTTTATGTGAGATCTGAGAATCCAAACTCAGGTCATAAAGCTTGCCAGCAAGCTCTTTCCTGACTGAGCTATGTCCCCTGATACACCATGATGAACTCTTTTGTTTGTTTGTTTTTGTTTATGTTCATGTTTTTTGAGACAGGGTTGCCCAGTAAACCACAGCTGGCCTGGGCCTCACTATGTAGAACAGGCTGGTCTTGAACTTCCGGAAATCTACTGGCCTCTGCCTCCCAAGTACTGGGATTAAAGGCATGTACCACCATGCTAGCCTG